TTTTATTTTTTTTCAAACACCAAACAGCCGAGACCGGTTTGGCTCAATGGATAGAACGGCGGCTTGGGGACTGAAGGGTCCCGGGTTCGATTCTGGTCAAGGGCATGTTCCTTGGTTGTGGGCATATCCCCAGTACGGGGTGTGCAAGAGGCAGCTGATTGATGACTCTCTCTCATCGATGTTTCTAACTCTCTATCTCTCTCCCTTCCTCTTGTACAAAATCAATAAAATATATTTTAAAACACTAAACATTGTCAAAACCAGTTTGGCTCAGTGGATAGAGCGTCAGCCTGTGGACTGAAAGGTCCCAGGTTTGATTCCAGTCAACGGCATGTACTTTGGTTGCGGGCACATCCCCAGTGGGGGGTGTGCAGGAGGCAGCTGATCAATGATTCTCTCTTATTGACGTTTCTGACTCTCTATCTCTCTCCCTTCCTCTCTTGTAAAAATTCAATAAAATAGCCGAAACCGGTTTGGCTCAGCAGTAGAGCGTCGGTCTGCGGACTGAGGGGTCCCGGTTCAATTCCGGTCAAGGGCATGTACGTTGGTTGCGGGCACATCCTCGGTAGGGGGTGTGCAAGAGGCAGCTGGTCGATGTTTCTCTCTCATCGATGTTTCTAGTTCTCTATCCCTCTCTCTTCCTCTCTGTGAAAAATCAATAAAATATGTTTTTTTAAAAAATTAAAAAAAAATAAAAAATATATATATTTTAAAAAACACTTTTTTTTTTCCTAGAGGCCCAGTGTATGAAAATTTGTGCACTTGGGGGGGGGGGCAGTGGGGTGTCCCTCAGCCCAGCCTGTGCTCTCTTACCATCCGGGACCCTGTGGGGGATGTCCAACTGATGGCTTAGGATATCGGACCTAAGTTGGCAGTCAGACATCCCTCTGGCAGCCTGGGAGCCACCACTGCTACACTTAAAGCTGTCAGCCTGGCTTGTCAATCAGCTGCCTCCTAGAGGCTCCCCATTGGGGATTGAGCCTGAAACCTGGGCATGCACCTTAATGGGGAATGAACTGTGACCTCCTAGTTCATAGATCGAAACTCAACCACTGAGCGACGCTGGCCAGGACAGTATTTGTCTTTTATGACTGCCTTATTTCACTTAGCATAATGTCCGAAAAAGGTTAATCTGAGTTTTGTGTCAGACTTTCCTTCAAGTCTGAATAGTATTATTTTAAGTATATACCACATTTTGTTTTTCTATTCACCCATCCATGCACACTTGGTTGCTTCCACTTTTTAAAAAATATATATATTTTTTATTGATTTTTTACAGAGAGGAAGAGAGAGGGATAGTTAGAAACATAGATCAGAGAGAATCATCAATCACCTGCCTCTTGCACATGCCCTACCGGGGATGTGCCTGCAACCAAGGTACATGCCCTTGACCGGAATTGAACCCGGGACCTTTCAGTCCGCAGACCGACACACTACCACTGAGCCAAACCAGTTTCGGCTGCTTCCACCTTTTGACTAGTGGGAATAATGCTGCTATAGATATAGGTGTACAAGTATCTCTTTGAGGTTCTGCTTCTAATTCTTTTGGATATGTACCCAGAAGTGGGAATTGCTTTATCATATGGTACTTCTATTTTTAATTTCTTGAGGAACCTCCATACTGTTTTCTGGAGTGGTACACCATTTCAGATTCCTACTACCCAATAGTATACAAGGTTATCAATTTCTCTACATCCTTGCCAACACTTATTTCCTGTTGTGTGTGTGTGTGTGTGTGTGTGTGTTTATAGTAGTTATCCTAGTGGTTGTGAGGTAGTATGTCATTGTGGATTTTGATTTGCATTTCTCTTATGACAATCATTGGTACTTCCCCCCATAATTATACCCAGGAAAAGTTGAGAACACAGAGTTCCTGCCTCCCTTCTGAATAAAAGCCTTTTGGTGTCCCCAATTAAATTCCACTTTCACGGTTTAAAGAGTCACACTAGAAACTCCTCCCTGCTGAAGCCTGCATCAGTCCCTGTTGGGTAATGCTTCTCTCATTAGGATCCTTCTCCCAGCAATCCAGATGTGAGGAAGCAATCAAGGTAAACTATGGTTCCAATGTCTTTAGGGGATAATTTATATATCTAAGTGAAACCTAATCCATAGGGAATTTGCAATAAATGTGAAACCTGTAGGCATTCCTTGGAATGAACTAGGAGGTCACAGTTCATTCCCCATTAAGGTGCATCACCAATGATATCTATTCAAAATTTAAATACATCTTTAATATTTTGCATCACAGAACATCATTGTTTCCCCAACCTAGGGCAAGGTTTTCTTTAGCAGTCAAAATGAAGGAGCTGATTAAATAGTATCAAGATCCCTTTGGTTTTAACTTTCTATAACATTAAAAAATGTAATAGTAATAGCATACTAATATATTTTTTTTACCTTATCCTTTTTTATTTTTTATTATTTTTTAAAATATATTTTATTGATTTTTTTACAGAGAGGAAGGGAGAGGGATAGAGATAGAGAGCTAGAAACATCGATGAGAGAAACACCGATCAGCTGCCTCCTGCACACCTCCTACTGGGGATGTGCCCGCAACCAAAATGCATGCCCTTGACCGGAATCGAACCTGGGACCTTTTAGTCTGCAGAACGACGCTCTATTCACTGAGCCAAACTGGTTGGGCCTTATCCTTTTTTTTTTTTTTTAATTATCTTTATTACTGAGAATACTACGGATGTTCTCCCCCCCCCCCTTTTCCCTCTTAATTTTATCCTTGCTTACAATTTGTCAGAACCCATTTAATTGAAGATGTGGTATTAATATATTGGTTTCAAGTATATCCTTTCTAAAACATATTTCAATGCATATTATTAAACAACTAGATGCCCGGTGCATGAAATTTGTGCACAGGAGGGGGGTGTCACTCAGTCCAGCCTGCACCCTCTCCAATCTGGGACCCCTTGAGGGATGTCTGACTGCCCGTTTAGACCTGATCCCAGTGGAATTAGGCCTAAATGGGCAGTTGGACATACTTCTCACAATCCCAACTGTTCGCCTGCCTGCCTTCCTGAATGCCCCTAACCGCTTCTGTCTGCCTGTCTGATCACCCCCTAACCACTCCCCTGCCACCCTGATTGATGTCTAACTGCTCCCCTGCCAGCCTGTTAGCCCCCAACTTCCCTACTCTGCCGGCCTGGTCACCCCTAACTGCACTCCCCCACAGGGTTGATCACCTCCAAATGCCCTCCCTTGCAGGCCTGGTCCCTCCCAACTGCCCTCCCCTGCTGGCCATCTTGTGTCCACATGGGGGCAGCCATCTTGTATTTGGAGTGATGGTCAATCTGCAAATTACTCTTTTATTAGAGGCCTGGTGCATGGGTGGGGGCCAGCTGGTTTGCCCTGAAGGGTGTCCTAGATCAGGGTAGGGGTTCCCTTGGGGCGTGAGACAGCCTGGGTGAGGGGCCTGTGGTGGTTTGCAGGCTGGCCACACACACACACACACCCAGCGACCCAAGCAGAGGCCCTGGTATCTGGGATTTATTTATCTTCTACAATTGAAACTTTGTAGCCTGAAGCAGAGCCAAGCCTTCAGCTTGCTCCATGGTGGCAGCCATTTCTGTTGAGACTTATTTATCTTCTATAATTGAAACTTTGTAGCCTTAAGCAGAGGCCTGGGCTGGCCAGGGTGTGCAGAAAGCTTGGCTTCCTCCACCACTGGGGAAACCCAAGTCTCCCTCCTGCTCTCTCTGTGGCCTCAGCCATCTTGGTTGGGTTACTTTGCATACTCGCTCCTGAATAGCTTGTGGGTACAGTGGAGTGATGGTTAATTTGCATATTACTTTTATCGGATAGAATTTGCAGTAATAATGGCCTCCACAAACATTTCAGCTTCCTCATAAATCTGACTATAAAACATCCTACATTTTAGCTGAAACTGGTTTGGCCTGCGGACTGAAGGGTCCCAGGTTTGATTTTGATAAAGGGTACGTGTCTTGGTTGCGGGCACATCCCCAGTGAGAGGTGTGCAGGAGGCGGCTGATCGATGTTTCTCTCTCATAGATGTTTCTGGCTCTCTATCCTTCTCTCTTCCTCTCTGTAAAAGTCAAAATATATTTTTTAAAATCCTACATTTCAATTGATTTAATTCAACACTAAATCTGAAAATCACCAATGATATCTATTCAAAATTTAAATACATCTTTAATATTTTGCATCACAGAACATCAGTGTTAGATGGAACACTGGAGTGATTTAGTCCACAGCACTCACATTAAAATAAATAGGTCCAGGGAGGTTCAAGTGATTTTCCTATGGTCACATATCTAGACAGAAACAGAGTAAAGACTAAAAGTTATTTAAAAGCCAGGTCTGTTTACTTCCTGTCCAGTGTTTCTACTCCATGTTTGCAAATGTACTGTGGTCCAGTACCATATAACTTGATAATCTGTCTGGGTAACTTTCAAATTAATTACTTAGTACCAAACAGGAATTAACTAGTCACAGTGTTCACTGACTGGGACAAAAGCTAGATGAACCATTGAAAACAACTATTCAGCCAAGACTGGTTTGGCTCAATGGATAGAGCGTCGGCTTGGGGACTGAAAGGTCCCGGGTTCGATTCCGGTCAAGGGCATGTACCTTGGTTTCAGGCATATCCCCGGTAGGGGGTGTGCAAGAGGCAGCTGATCGATGACTCTTTCTCATCGATGTTTCTAACTCTCTATCTCTCTCCCTTCCTCTCTGTACAAAATCAATAAAATATATATTAAAAAAAAAAAGAAAACAGCTATTCATCTACTTATCTTGGCTGTTTTGACTAATCTAATGGGTGATTACACTAATGAAGGATAACATTTGGAATCCTGGAAGAATGCAACTCAACCTAGAATTTCCTTCGGCCATCAAATTCACTGTCATTAGGACAATAAGAAAGTTAATTATATTTTTCAAAATGGAATATCATAATATTATAATACTAGTAGTTTAGAGTTTTAAATTCACCCCCCCTTTTTATGTTAATAAAAAACTCAGAATTTAGATTGTAAAAGTTTATTGACATGGTCAAAAAGCAAACAGCCAGACATTTGGTTATTTTTGCCACTACAATGTGTCATTTTGAATAGTATTTTTAAAATGTATAACAAATAATATTTAAACCATTACTAGAAAAGTAAAGAGTCTAAGGCACTTCATATGAAAGCTAATTTCAAAATTTTCACAAAGTTAACACTATACTAAGTGTAGTAAACCTGCTTTCTACAGATTTTAGCCAGAATGCAACTTTTCTCCTTACAGAAAAAGAATGTGCTCTTAAGGAAGATAAAACAAATGCAACAAAACTGTCATTATTTTAATGCTTATGGCAAAGTATCTGGAGCTATACAGATTACATGACAGTAGTATTTTCTTGATCAGTCTATATAGATTAGGGCATTTTAATACAAGTCTCATAGGAATCACAGCATGAATTTATTTGGCCTGAGACAAGTAAAAGAACAGCAGATAAGGTATCCAGAATCACAAAATTTTTAGGGGAGTAACTAACAAAAAGTGGCTCCATTAAAGAGTAAAAGGTTTTCCTCGTCTGCTCTGCGTGTGCCTGCGCGTCTCCAGTTTCCCGGAGTCGCTATAAATTGCAGCGCAGCCGCAGGCTGCAGGACTCCCAGATGCCCCAAGCTTGAGGCGGACGCCGCCAGGATCCTGGCGGTAGAGGGACTTTGCTGTCCTCTTTTTTTGTTTATCTACTTAATTTGTTTTGTCTTGATTTTTTAATAAAACAGTTGGTCTAAAAAAATAAAAAATAAAAATAAAATAAAATAAAATAAAGAGTAAAAGGTTGACTATATACCTCCACCCACCAAATCTAATGAAAAACACAAAAAGACCCTACATAAAACATTTCTTCTTATACAATTATATCCATCTCTTTCTGCAAACCTCTATTATATAAGACTTCTAGATCACATGAAAGACATATTAGATAGTAAATAGAAGGCAGTCACAGTATTATTTTGATTCAATACTCCTCAAGTTTCTTTAAAACTTTTTATCAATCATAATTCTCATAATGTCATTTCAGTATACTGTTCATAACTATGAGAAGATTATAGCTAGATCTAATTATTACTATCAACTTTCATTCTTCAAAGAAATTTCTTTAGCACATATGGTTATTTCCACTGACAAAAAAAAGACAAAATTCAAACAAAACCCTTTTAAATGTTTACTTTGTTTCTCCACTTAAAGTGGAGAATAAAGGCTACAATAATAGCAAAAACAGAATAGCTTTCAAAAAACATTTACTTTCTATTCACAGGCAATAACAATTATTTCCTTCTTTTCATAACCTTGGGGACTTATTTTCCTAAACACAAGGATTATTAAAATATTTTGTAACTAAAAAAATATTTTGTGACTGTAATACAGTAATCAAATTAACCAGATAAGCCTATTTTTCCCCCTCTTAGATACAAATGAAATAAGTGACAATCTCAAATTTGCAAACATTTTGAACCATTTTTAAGTTACATTGATTTTTAGCTACATTTTTATTAGAGTTGGCTACCTTAAATAAAAGTAGGGAGACAGAATGAACCTGAAATCTTTCCAAATACAAGGTAGTTACTTCCATACTTATGCAGAAATCATAATCCTGTTTTTAGAGATACTTTTTTTTTTTAAACAACTACAGTCACCAGGAAGCATAGACAGTCAGTACTGTATTTCAATAGGGAAGATGGAGGAGGACTAGCTACTTTTTTTCCCCCTAAAAGCTAGACATATACTCTGAAGAATGGTATTCTGTTTTCAGAAGATCACATAGCACATATGACTTCTCTGCCCGAAAGGAAAGATGTGCAAAAGTATACACATCCATGCAAAAATGGAAAAGCTAACATTGGCTTCCTGATGCAGTTATCTATAACAGGCATATGCAGGAACACCTGGTCAGAACCAACCCCCCACTACCATCTTTGGGTAAGATAAAATCATTTGGCCAAAAGTTAACTAAAGCAGTTTTGAACCTTGTTCTAATTAAGACTGAGTCGTAGTTTTGAAATTTTCATGAAATTTTCAGTATTACTAAATTAAAGGTTCCATAAAGTTCACTGGGAAGGGTAGGTAAAGAGGAAAATTGTATTCAAATACTTAATGATTATGATAGGAAATTGCTGTTAAGGCACTACACATCTTCTTTGGTTAAATGATTAACTAAAATCACTTAAAAAAGGAGGTAATACAAAATACACAAATTGCATTCTTCTTTTCATACACGCAACTTTTTCATTTTTCAATTTCCATTACTCCAGTGTTTATATATCTCTGGGATCCTTTTTAGCTCATCAGAAAGCTGAAACAAAAATATATAACAATCTATTAGTCTCTGAAAGAAAAGTAGGCTTTAAATAGCTTGATTTTAACATAGCAAAGCATGTTTGAATGTATGTATAATACACTTTGAGTATCGATAACAAAAAGTGAGAAACCCTGAGATACTGAGGTAGTCTTAGAAGAGAAAATGTAATAGATATAACTTCAAGTTAAAATATCTCCTAAAGCCGAGGCCAGTTTGGCTCAGTGGATAGAGCGTTGGCCTGTGGACTGAAAGGTCCCGGGTTCGATTCTGGTCAAGGGCATGTACCTTGGTTGCGGGCACATCCCCAGTGGGGGGTGGGCATGGGGCAGCTGATCGATGATTCTCTCTCATCGATGTTTCTAACTCTCTATCCCTCTCTCTTCCTCTCTGTAAAAAATCAATTAAAATATATTTAAAAATAAATAAATTAAAAAAATATATATATCTCCTAAAGAGCCCAGCTGGCATGGCTCAGTGGTTGAGAGTCGATCTACGAATCAGATGGTCACAGCTCAATCTCCAGTGTGGGGCATGTGAGCCCCAGTGTGAGGTGTGCAGAAGGCAGCCGACTGGTGATTCTCTCTCATCACTGATATTTCTTTTTTTTCTTTTTTTAATATTTTATTGATTTTACACAGAGAGGAATTGAGAGGGATAGAGAGTTAGAAACGTCGATGAGAGAGAAACACCGACCAGCTGCCTCCTGCACAACCCCCACTGGGGATGTGCTTGCAACCAAGGTACATGCCCTTGACCGGAATCGAACCCGGGACCTTTCAGTCCACAGGCCGACGCTCTATCCACTGAGCTAAACCGGTCCCGGCTCATCACTGATATTTCTATCTCCCCCTCTCTGAAATCAATAAAAATATTTTAAAAAATATCTCCTAAAGCCGAAACCGGTTTGGCTCAAATGGATAGAGCGTCAGCTTGGCGACGGAAAGGTCCCGGGTTCAATTCTGGTCAAGGGCATGTACCTTGGTTGCAGGCACATCCCCAGTAGGGGGTGTGCAAGAGGCAGCTGATCGATGACTCTCTCTCATCGATGTTTCTAACTCTCTATCTCTCTCCCTTCCTCTGTGTACAAAATCAATAAAATATATTAAAAAATATCTCCTAAAGATAGACACCAATTAATAATTGAAGTAATCATAATTATCAAATAAGTAACAGAAGTCCCAGCAAAATTACCCTTGTATCCCAGTTAGTATTCTACAGAAGAGAAGTTACTTTAAAATATACTTACACAGAGCAATGAAAGTATAAAGTTGGTAGGTTATAAGTCAAGAATCAAGACCTAGTAGGTTTTAGTCTTAAATAAGTTTGCAAGAAAAAAATGCAAGATTAATTTATATTATTCACTGATTAAAAAGCATCTAAGAATGTCACAATATAATGAATCAACTAGAGAGTTGTTCAAAATTATATATGAAAAAGTGTTAAAATATAAAGATTGAATTTAGGTTTAAAAATATCATTGGATAGCCGGGACCAGTTTAGCTCAATGGATAGAGCGTCAGCTTGGGGACTGAAGGGACCCGGGTTCGATTCCGGTTAAGGGCATGTATCTTGGTTGCGGGCATATCCCCAGTAGGGGGTGTGCAAGAGGCAACTGTTCGATGACTCTCTCTCATCGATGTTTCTAACTCTCTATCTCTCTCCCTTCCTCTCTGTACAAAATCAATAAAATATATTTTAAAAAATATATCATTGGATATACTTTACCTTTAGTGTTCATAATCACTTATATAACAGGAAAATGTTGTATTAAAAGTCTAGGAATTATAGTAACTGGCACTCAGGTTATAAAATTAAACTAAATCACAACAACCCCAATTTATGTAGGTACATTTCTCTTGGTTATTAACAGAGTAAAATTGATAACTTATAACCAGGAGATTAATTTCCTTCCTGAGCCTATGAACATTTCAAGATGTTCTTGCACACTCTTTTGTACACTGTCTACAAAATGGATTTTCATCAAATGTTCTGTTTATGGCATAAAGAGCCTTGAAAAGTAGAGGTAAAAAGTCTTCAAAAACATTTAAAAATAATTATCCCCTTGCCCTGGCCGATTTTGCTCATTGCTTAGAGCTGTGGTCAGCAAACTGTGGCTCACAAGCCACATGTGGCTCTTTGGCCCTTTGATTGTAGCTCTTCCACAAAATACCACAGCCTGGGCGAGTCTATTTTGAAGAAGTGGCGTTAGAAGAAATTTAAGTTTAGCCGAGACCGGTTTGGCTTAATAGATAGAGCGTCGGCTTGGGGACTGAAAGGTCCCGGGTTCGATTCCGGTCAAGGGCATGTACCTTGGTTGCGGGCATATCCCCAGTAGGGGGTGTGCAGGAGGCAGCTGATCGATGACTCTCTCTCATCGATGTTTCTAGCTCTCTATCTCTCTCCCTTCCTCTCTGTACAAAATCAATAAAATATATTAAAAAAATAAAATTAAAATAAAATAAAATAAAAAACTGTGGTACATCTACACAATTGAATACTGTGCTGCTGTAAAAAAAAAAAAAAGAAAAAAAAAAGAAAAAAAAAGAAGAAATTTAAGTTTAAAAATTTGGCTCTCAAAAGACATTTCAATCGTTGTACTGTTGATATTTGGCTCTGTTGACTATTGAGTTTGCCGACCACTGGCATAGAGCATCAGGTTGCAGATCGAAGGACCACAAGTTCGATTCCTGGTTAAGGGCATGTACCTTGGTTGTGTGTGGGAGGCAACCAATTGATGTGTTGCCTTTCTCTCTCCTCTTCCTCCTCCCTCCCTCCCACTCTCTCTAAAAAATATCCTCGAGTAAAGATTTAAAAAATAGTAATAATTTCCCCCTCAGGAGATAGTATTGCATTCACACAAGGAATTATTGTAAGTAGATATAGTATAAAATGTTCTAATTATTTTGTTCTGTAGATTTCTAGATTAAATTAGGTGATGTTAGAATGACCATGAAAGATAATCCTGAGAAATCAAATATCATTGTCCATTATATAATTAAACTAATTTTATATGATATATACCTAAATTAAATTAAAGCCTATCTCTTTGCTTTACAAGCTAGAAGAAAAAACAAACAAACAAAAAGTATTATAAAGCAGCATAAGCTCTGATCTTTGTAAATATAGGTAATCATTATATAAATCATACCTATATGGATATCCATGATATTTAGATCTGAAAATAGAGAGCAACCAACTGAAGAATAATACAACGAGTCCAATACCAGCCACACACATTACTGTAGAAAAACAAAAGCAGAGTAAAATGAGCATGTTAAGAAGTGTAATGACAAACCAGTGCATACATTTTAGTCTACACTTTCAAGAGTGAAAAAACAAGAGCTATAACTTATTGGTAAATCTCAACTTTCCATCCCCATTCTTTTCTCTTCAGGATTCTGCCTTCCCCTTTAATTTGTTCTATTACAATATACTAGAGTAGCTTCATTTGCATAATTGTGCAATTTAATTGTATGAATTAATGAATTCCTTTCATGCCATGATAATCAAG